CAGTAACTGGGTTTGCAACAGCACAGACCCCTCAGCAAAAGGTGAGTTACCCTAACAGGTTGTGAAGTTACATCGCTGTTTGGGGGATAAATGCAGGGAGTTGTATTTTCTCCAGGGGAGAGGAATCAGAACACAACATATTCAGCAGACCAAGCTGCTGTTCCAAGGCTGCTCCTGCAGTAACACACAAGCCCCAGGAAGCCAAAAGCAAAAGACACAGACCCTGGGCTCCCCTGGTGTTGCCTTGTTCACTATCGTCTGTTCCTTTGCTGCTCTCCCTTTTCCTCAAACTATTCCCTGGGGTTTGTTCCACTTTCTGCCAAGATCACAACATCAAAACCCACACCATGATCTCTCCCATCTTTTCTGATCACTCAGCAGATACTGAAGGGGAGAAAGTGAACATGCTGTCCATGGCTGTGCTGGGTTTGAGAGTTCTGCTGGCAAAGAGCATCGCCTTCAATACACTCATGAGTATCAAGTTGTTCCTTTTCTGAGGTAAGGGAGCACTCAGCTATCAAACAGCAATTCCTTGGCTCAATTCCATTAAATGTGATTTAAAATCACTCTTATTCTTCCAGATATGAGGAATGAAGGCAAGAGGAACATGAAGAAGAGCAGGAAAGAGCGTGAACCAGCAGCACAAGGGGTTGAACCAGCAGTGTCAGAGCTGCTTACAGTGACCACCCAGGACACAAAGCAGCACWKTCCCCTGGAGACACTGAATGCTGTTCACTCCTGCCTGGCCAGCTGATTTACACTGAAGAGTTTGAAGTGCTTTTGCTGTTTCCCCTCCTCTGAGAATTGAGGAGAGTAGGTTTATCCTCATCCTCCTCCTGAGTAGATCTCCCCTTTCTCCACCATTTGCATAGAAATGTCCAGCCTGCTTCAACAGCTTTGAAAACCCCAATGCTTGCTACAGATTTATGGCATTTCAAAAGCCCCTTTCCCAGGCACCTTGTGTCACTGCCTGGAGAACTGGAGTGTTACGGCTGAGGGAATTCAAGCCCATTAATTGCCATTTGTAGCTTTGGGGTTTAGATCATTTTAATACCAAAAATTGCGTGTATTGTAGATGAGAAGAGCTGTGTAGGATCTGAAGTGATTCAACTCAACCAGGTAATATTTAACCAGAGAAGCATTTCTTATTAATCCTGTATTTCTTCTGCTGAATCTATCACACATGTATTTTAGGTTCTGTAGTAGTGATGAAAATAAAATGTGAAAAAGCAGTGCTTTTTCTATGCGTTTTCTTCTGAATGTGGGATTCAGGTTGCTGAAATCCAGCTATCCTAGAACTGGAAACACAGCTTTGATTAACACAGATTTCCTATTGGCTGAATTTGTCTCTTCCAGACTGTGCTGTGCAGGGAAGGGTCTCTTTGGAACATTCAAGAGCTTCAGTGAGGAGAGAC